GTGCCAGGCTCCGCAGTTTCCGCAGCACGTATGAATGCTCTGTTTTTTTTTTTTTTTTGTTTCTCCCTTTCAGTCGTCGGTGAGTCCTAGACAGCCCGCTCCAAGAAGGGCCCTGGGCCTTGGGCCTTGCGTCTCTAAGCCGAGCACCCCAAGATTTGATGCTCTCTGCCAGGACAGCGACGGTTCTCACATCAAAGGGCTCTTGCCTCTTGACAGCAATTCACGGGCAAAACCGCGGTGAGTCGGAGGCTTAAGCTGTCGGGTTTCTAGCGGATCCTAGGATCAACCTGATCCATGCCTGGTGGCCCTCCCTCGCGCGGCTGCCGGGCTTCCTCAAGGCTCCGCGCGGAGCCGCCGCAAGCGCGCGCGCGTCTTCCTGTTGTGGTGTAGGAGTTCTTCACGCCGATCGTCAAAGCAAGGAAAGGCCGCCCGGAACTCGGAACCGATCGCTCGGGCTCCGGCTCCGGAATGGCCCCTTTCAGCCGAGGCAGCGAGACCTGCTTCTACACGCTTCCGGAGTACGAGGCCTTCGACACTCACATTCCCGACTCTTTTTTTGGGCGCTTCTAGCCGCCCTGCAGGGCTCGCGCTTGCAGTCAGGCTTGGAAGAAGGAGACCGAGAACGGAAAGGGCTTCAAGATCAAATACTACAAAGGCGGCATTCAACATTCCCAGGCCCTGAAATGGTCAAACAATTCTCAGCGCAGGTCTTGGCACGAGCACATCGAAGGAGGCGAAGGCAGTCTGAACTCTGACAATCTCGAGCTGCGTTGCTGGCATTGGGCGCTACGACATGGCAGGAGTACTTTAGCGCCCTTGAGTCGCACAAGATGCGATACCGGTATGCGTGGGCCCAAGTTTAAGGAGGGCGGCGCTGATGTGGGGTCAGAACGGTCATTATTTTGGTGGTTGCGAGCTAGGATGGTGTTGAAGACGACCGAGCCATCGATCTCGCCTTCAATAAGCTTCCTGGCTACAACCCGGTCAGTGGTGGATCTGCGCGTCGAATTCGTTGCGGTCCATCGGGTGACAAGGAGGCGAGCAGATGACAGAAAGGCGTGGATCAACGCTTACGAGGCGGTGCCTGTGTGCCTTGGGCCGGGCGGACTTAAAAGAGGAAAGGCTGTTTGCAGTAAAAGTGGGGAGGCTTTTTTTTCTGACAGGAAGGACGCTTGGTGGACCACACGCAGCAGGAGGCGGGATCGTGCGACGCCGTCTTCGTGCGTGGCCTGCTTCCTGTTTAAATGCGGTGAGAGGTGAGCTACAAGGACTTCGTGGACAAGGCGCGGCCCGGCCGGAGCCGCAAAAACCGCCGATCTCTCAGCCGCTTCGGCTGACACGCAGGAGCTGGTGCTCTTTGCCAAAGCCAACGCCCAAAGCTCAGCTGCAGAGAGCGCTGCAGAGAGCGCTGCTCTGAGCACTGCAGAAAGGGCGGATGTTCAGTGCTTTTAGTTGGGCTTGGGAGGTGACACGTGCCATTCCCTCCATGGTGGATGGTTTCAAGCCGAGCCAGAGAAAGGCGTGGACTCTTAGGAGGAATCTATAATCATAATCATGAATCAATCGCTGGGATTCTGCCAGTTCCGATGTCAAGTTGATCCTGTTTGCTGACAGCGTGGGCTCGTGGGCTCAAAGTCCTCTTGCCGTTTCACTGCAGCTTCCTCTCGATGGCCTCCTGCCCAGCTTGGAAGTCGTTAAGCCAGCCTTTGCGCCCTGCGTGGAGTCGCCGGTCACTGTGCCTTAAGGCGACCGCCACAGTGCCAGCGGCGCAGATCGACAATTGTGTTCGGCGCAGCCACTTGCAGCAGGGCGAGTCCGTGCCGCCCCCATCGGCTCGTCGGAAGATATCTCAGCTCACAGAAGTTTGTCTCCTCGAGGCGCTCCATCAAAACATTTCAGAGAAAGGCGCTGGGGCGCCTTAAGGCCCTTCGATTCGTTTCAGAAGTCCGCAACTTGGAGGTGAGAATGCCTATTACTTCGCCCACAGTAGAAAGTTCGAAATCCCGGAGGCGCGGGGTCCTTGCGACCGTTGCGGCTGTGAAATAGAGAGCCCTTGACTGAGAGGATGCCAAGATCATCGCCGGCCCCGGTGCCCTGACCACACTCCGACGCGCCTCTTAGCAGATCACGGGCTCCTCCCCCCCCCCCCCCCCCCC